CTATTTGCAATATACTATTTACAACATACTTTTAATAGCTTAAAAAAAATGATATGCTACAAAAAAAAATATAGTGAAAATCCGTAACAAGATCACTAGTTCTTAATCCAGTTTGATCCATATTTAATTTGATACTTAACTTAGAATATAGTTTACAAATAAAATCAAATCATAAAAGTCTAGAAACTTATTCAGAAATTGAGTTTAGGCCATTCAATAAGGAATTGAATAAATTTAACATCAGACAGCGACACATTGGAGGACATTTTTGGGAAACCCAATTATGTCTAAGTGAACTTTTTTAAACTACACCAAATTATGTACAGCATCTGGAAAGTACTCGATAATTAACTTCTTATATGACATTTTATCTTTTTAGGATATTTCCTTTAAAATTTATCCCTAGCCCTTTTAAATCGTATCAAAATGCTTTCAGTGTAGGTGTGATCAGGCTTGTTCAGAGATGGCCTCCTCATTTTTGCCACATAATTGAATCGGCTGTGAATAAGGCCACCGGCTAGGGAACTGCATTTGGTACAGTTTCCTTGCTGCGGCTTCTGGTCTCTCGGTTTTTTTTTTTTTGGTTTATTTATATGCAAGCCACGCCCCCATCTGCCCTCGAAGCATTCATGTTCAGCTGAGCAGTCACCGCACCACCACTCGCACTTATTAATAAACCAAAAACCAAAGGCGTCATTCTGTCGCGTCGTGACTGGCATAAAAACCGGGCTAAAACGGATACTTGGATGCCGAGACATAAATAAAATGCAGCTAATTTGAATGCACCGACCTTGAGACGAGCACCCCCGCCCAAAGACAATTGCAACAATTGTGGCGCACAAGGCAAGGATTCTTTTCGATGTCTTGAGATCGCTTCAGCCAGAGGTCAGAGCTCGAAACAATCCGAAATCCTTAAGGACACTTGACCCACTGAATTTCTTAGAGACACCTTGGCGAGGTGACTGATGAGGATGATTAGATGAAGATGAAGATGAGGCCCACATCCTTGGTCTAATCCTTTCAAGGGATGCCACATGGGCGCGGACTTAACCCAAATACTCGTATGTTTGCAAATAATGAAGCTTTTGTGTTGGCCCGCTGTCGATTGGCCTTCGAACGTTGCAAGAGCGCGGATGACGTCACAAGCAGAGCACTCACACACACATATATATACATATATATAGAGCCGATTTGGTGGCTTTGCTGAATGTCACGCCCCGCCTTTCAGGTTATATTTAGTCAAACGCGAGGCGACAGCCCATAATTGCCGGAGCAATGTAAAAATAAAATACCAAAATCAGCAGCACCAAATAGGCCGATAGCATTTGGGCCTTTAGCATTTAAGAGGCTTACCGCACCACACGCGCCCATTCCATTAGACCAAAAACCCGGAGCCTCCGCACCACCGCCCCTAAAAAGTAGGCAACGAAAATGGGCCAAAGTGAACGACAAATGTTTATGGCCCAGTTGAAGCCAGAGGCCAACAAAAACACGATTTGACAAATGAGCGCATGAAAATGGCAATTTTAATTGTTAGGGGGCGGCAGATAGTTAAAAGCTGTATGGGCACCGGCAGTGAGAAATGATATGATCTTTAAGTGCTAAGGACGAAATTTCAAATTGAAAATAAGAAAATGAAAACAGAAGTGAGGCTTTAAAACCGAGGGACTAGTTTGCCTAGCAACGGACAGACGGACATTACGAGATCGACTCACCTGGTGATGCTGATCAAGAATATATTTATTTTTCGACCCCAAATTTAGAGAATTAAACCTCGATTATTTAGAAGTATGCCACTTCGAAATCGGATATCTGTTAGAAAAGTTATGGGCTTAGAAGTGCAGGTTTTGGGTCACTTTTCTACAAAGCCAATTTTCGAAAATTTGGAAAGGGGTAACATCATTAAAATGACGAAAAATCGACCCCAAAATACAAAACAAAGTGAAAACACAGATTTTTAGAGAATTTAACCACAATCATTTAGAAGTATGCCACTTCGAAATCGAATATCTGTAAGAAAAGTAATGGGCTTAGAAGTGCAGGTTTTGGGTCACTTTTCTGCAAGGCCATTTTTCTAAAATTTGGAAAGGGGAACATCATTAAAATGACGGAAAATCGAACCCAAAATACAAAACAAACTGAAAACACAGATTTTTAGAGAATTAAAACCCAATCATTTGGATATATGCCACTTTGAAATCGGATATCTGTTAGAAAAGTTATGGGCTTAGAAGTGCAGGTTTTATAGTCATTTTTCTGCAAAGACGGAAAAGTCGGAAAATCGACCCCAAAATACAAGTTATAAAAAATATATGTTTTAAGCATATTTTTATATTTATTTTTCCTATAGTAAACCAAAGGAAACGATGATTCTAATCTAATGTAGAAAAATAAAAAGTAAATAAATATTAAATACAATTTAGGACCCAGTGAAATCTAGCCAGAATCGTGCTCTAATTAGACAGCTTCAAAGTCACGCCCATTTGTCGGGTCAGTTAAAGGGATTATCAGAGTCCGGCTCACACGCACGCAAATATCACACACTCACACAGCCACACTCGACGGCATTTATAAAAGCTGGGTGTGTATCCGTATCCTTCAACTGCAGTTTAAATGCCAAATCAGCGTAAATTGTTCGTCTAGTGGGGGCTTACCAAATAACTGCTGGGATGAAGGAGGGGCACTAGTGGCCAAAGGACCTTTGGCTTCTGCAGAATTTGTCAAACTTTTGCTGTTGTGGTTGTTGTTGTCCTGCCCGCTGTTGTTGCTTTCGTAATGTCACTCGACGGCATCTGCAATGTCCTTGCAGCACGAGTTCATTGGCCCAAACGCCGAGCTGCAGCCTGCAGTTGCGCTCTCCTGCGAGAGAATTTTACCAGAGATTGGTAGTACAAGAGAGAGAGTTATCTGTGGGTGAGAGAAGCTAAGAAATGGGAGGGGGAGGTAGGGGCGGTAGAAAGCTGTTCCCGAGAGAGTGAGAGAGAAAGAAGGCCGGTTCAATGCACGGCAAGTAGGTTATAAAAAGGCAAAAGGCCGGCCCTACAAGAAACATAGCTATGACGTCATTGTGAAAGCCGCACAAACACACACACAAGAAGAAAAGTAGAAAAAAGAGAACGGGAGAATAAGTGGCAATCTGCAGTTGAGTGAGTGTATGTGTGTGTGTGTGTGAAAAGGCGGCTTAATTTTCAGTTGAGAAAACAGAAATATGCCAACTTTTACTTTTAGACTTTGGCCCGGACTACCTCAATTTTCCCACCCCCTTTTCCAACCCTTTTCTTTACCCATGCCCAAGTGTGAATGTGTGTCTCTGCAAGTGTGAATACACTCATCTATGTGAGTGAGTCTATAAAATGGGCACAAGGGCATTTAATGCGGCATTTATGCTGACAACTTTTTTTTCCAGTTAGGATCACACAATAACATAAGTACACATAAAGCGAAACAAAAGCAGTGCCAGTAAATATGATAGTAAAACACAAATATGCAAATCCATAGAGACTGTTGTTTATAAATGTCTCTAAATTTAAGAAAAAATGTTCAATATATATTGATTGTTTTTCAAAGAATTAAAAAATTTCTTTGGCATGACTTCAACTTATGTAAAATACCCAATTTTTCTTAATTAAAACATTCCATTTATGGAAGTTGAACTAATATTATTCAAGATTTATTTCCAAGCAATTTCAAGCCACCATTTTCCGTAAAGGACCAGAAATAAATAGAGAGTAAGGAAAGAAAAGTAAATCCAAGCACATGTTGCGACTTAATAGCAATGATTAACAAGTAAAGAAAAGGCTAGACAGTCACCTAGACTCATTAGCATGTGATTCCAGATCAAAAAGAAAATAGTCACAATAGAGGGGTAAAGGAAAAGCTAAAGGATGGGACAAAGGAAGCCAGACAGTGCGGAAAAGCCGGAGACCCAGACGCAGAGATACCAGGACATAACAATGAGAGTGCCAGCACCAAGAAGCCGCACACAATAATGGGAACCGGACAAAAACATGTGCCATAACAAGCTCCTCCACCGAAAGCAATAATTTGTGTTCACACCTCAGACTGAACTTTAACCGTGGCGCGGAAAAAACCCTATTAAATAACCAAGCCGGTGTCCGCCTAATGGAATATGCTGAGGAATTTACAAATAACCATAAGCCTGACGGGAAAAAATTCCGTTCTGTCATGCGCTAATTATGAGCAGCCAACCTTTTGACGAGCCGACCGAGTGGAAATTTTAAAAGTAAAAGCACCAAAATGGGCTTTCCAAATAATACACCCAATGAATGGACAAATTTTAAATCTTGGGTTAAGAAATACCCTTAAAAAAATAACAAAATCTTTTCTTTAAATAAAATGCAAAATGTTTAGGGTATAACAAAAATTCAGAGAATAAGTAATATAATGAAAACTAACGTATAATTTATGTTTTAGAACATTGAACTAAAGGTGCGTTGAAGTTGATAATCAAAATTAGCTGGCGCTTAATTTAATAGTTTAATTACTTAAAGCTTACACTACTTAAAACCAAATGCCTGACAATTCCATTTCCACATCACTTTAAAATATACATACTCTTGCCAAAGAAATACCCATAAAAATGAACAAAAATATTCCATTTGCTGAAGGAAAAACAGGAGGCAACAGAAAATAGCTTACCCCCACTGAAAATCCTTGAAAAACCGAAAAATAAAAGCGCGTACCAAAATTGAACGGAAAAATACAGCGTGAAATTTGCATGAGACAAATGTGGAAAAGTACTCACAACTACTCCATTCGCAGAGGAATAGAAATGGGAAAAGATAAATACAAAAATTTGTAGATAGGCAAAGGCAAAGACCGAAGATTCAAATCAATAAGTTATCCTTCGAATAACTTTCACAGGAGCACATAAAATGCAGGCCATTAACCGCATTGTAAACCAAACAAAAATGCATTTTAAGGAATCATCTCAATCAATAATTCCTGTAAATTTGAAATAACAACAAATTAGAAAAAAGTATGTATTAAATAAAACATTGACTTTATTTATTAAAATGCTGCATATGGCCTGAGTAAAATAATATAAATACAAATTAAGTATTGTTATTGGGTAACAGCGTTGGATATAACTTACAAAATTACAACATACAAATTCATCGATTAATAAATATTTTAGATCATTTTTTTCTTTTCTATTTATCACAAATCACCAGTTTAGGTAGATTTCACAGATTCGTTTCGATCTTCCGGATAGTCCACGTCCTTCTCAAAAAGATAGCACTGCAGCCAGTGGGAGATCTCTAATTGGCCGGAGAAAACGGGCTGCCAATTCCAGATGAGATGTCGAGCTTTTAATTTGGGAGTGTCGAATCGATTACTGTTGCGACGACATGCTTCAACAAATCGGCTGCCGAAAATTTGGGACAATTCGATCCCAGAAGCGGTATGCGCCAAGTAGTTGGAGTCCTTCGAGACAAAGAGCTGCTCAAAAGCAGCCCGCTCCGGATGAAACTGGCAGCCGAAGATGGGAAAACGACGGTGCTCGATTATTGTAATGAACTCCAAACCCTGCGAGTCACTCTGTGTGGCCAAGGGAATCCAATCGTTGGCTAGACCATAGGATTCCAAACTCTCTTTAGTGATACAATAGCGATGTTGATGGCAGGCAAAGGGTTGCTTTCCCATCTCCTCAGCCACGGAATCCGTCAGAGTATTAAGTAGCTGAGATTTGTGGTAATCCGTGGATAATTTAACCGGCATTGCCATCCGCATAGGCTTGCAATCAGTCCGAATCTTGGGTTCTCCGGCGGCATGGATTAGGAGCAACTGGAAGCCAAGACAAGTACCCCAAACTGGAAAATATCCGCCGGCATTATCCTGCTTTCTTGCCCTCTGATTCCGCTCCATGGCCAGCTGGTAAATGTGTTCGGCACTCTGGACACAATCGCTGGTCAGATCCGGATTGGCATTCCTATCAGCCTCGTCAATGAATACCGCTCCACCCGGCATAAGGATGCCATTTAGCCGGCCCATCATCGATTCGTAATATGCTCGATCCCGACCGATCCTGCAAGAAGATCAGTCATTGTCAATTATGAACTCATTATTTCACTATCTCTTAAAATACCCCAAATATGTTTAAAATATTCAAATGTTTACACATCATTAAATAAAATCGAAAGCAAATGAAAGTACCATAAATATGTTTAAAGTATTTAAATGTTCACACATCATAAATTAAAATCGAAAGCAAAAGCGTTCGATGGCTACAATAAATAAACCTTAAGTGTGAACACTTTTTCGCCTCATTCTTTAATCGCATTGCATTTTGAGAAATTGCTTGGCACGTCGCCCACTAAGATAATTATTTCTCTTAGCTATCGGGCGTTCGCGTTTTGGTACATTTGTTTATGCAATTTGTTTATCATTTAGTCTACTCAACCCACCCGATGGGCACTGCCAATGCCCCGGCCTCCAAGCGGGCAAATAGTCGTGTCACTTTTGGCCATAATTGTGGCCCAGTGACCTGGCCAAATCGATGCACATGATGCGAGGAGCGGGTTCCACTTTCTCTATCGATTTGTTTTCCAAATATGTAAGTCAATTCAAATTCAAACAGCACCGACAAAGGCCACTACGTGACTTTGGAAGATAAATGCTTGAAATGCAATCGGCTAATATAACAAAATATAAACGTATTAAACCATAATATAAGCATATAAATCGATTTTATACCCTTCACTTATTCAACCGTTGGCTAATCATAAAGCGTTGGTCGCAACTTAATGAGCAGGAAAATCTTTTTAAATGCCACTGATAATGCCACTTTTTTTAAGATAGTACCAATAATTATCAGTGGCAATTAAAAAGATATTTCTGCCAATTAGGTTCAAGTTTTATTAAGTAGTTTAAGTTCAAGTTTTTGTGTAAGTTGACGTTTTATCAATAAGTAATAAGAAGACTTACCAAATGGGTACTACATGGGCACCGGATGTTTCCAAAAATTTCACATAGGACGCTGCTATATAGCTATAGAACTTCCGACCATAGTGTTCCTGCAATTTACTGCTAATATCAATGCACAACACGCCAATTGTTGGTATTTGGTTGAGGGGTTCCCAACTCTCCGCCATCGTCGTTTTCCGCTTTGCGACTACGGCCGACTGAGTAGCCGTACAAATGCAAACTAAACGTAAATCCGAATACTTTCGCAACTTGGCAGAATCTCAATTGCAGCGAATGTGAAAAATGACTCTAGAATTTTGTGGTCTATTTTCGGGGATATTACACATTTTTAAAGATAGAAAACGAGGAATAAACAAAACGACTTTAGTTCCTTAGCACTTTATGTAGTAAGTCATATATATATACATGGAAACATACATGACCTGCACATAGAGGGTGTAGCTTATACCTCTTTCTCAAGAATACATATCAATTTTCCTGCTGAATTAAAGTATTAATTGCATTTAAGAATATTTAAAAAATAACAAGGAGGAACGCTATAGTTGAGTGCATCGACTATATGATAGCCGTTACTCATCTTAACAACTTTAAACTTTGCAGTCCAAACACCACGGACATGGCTTTATCGACTCGGCTACTCATCATCTTCAATAATATGTATATATAGGGTCCGAAACGCTTTCTTTAACCTGTTATTTACTTTCCAACAAACACAATATGCCCTTTTACTCCCGTACGCATTTCAGAACACATTACTCGAAAGCACTCACTTAATTGATCAACATACATATGTACTAAAGAGCTTAATGGCAATATAAAAGATTTGTGGTTTGCTTAATATATGTATTTGAATGCAAAATTAGTAACTCTGAATTAAATTTAAGCTTAATTCGCTGAAACTTTAGTGAAACTAGAATTCGAAGCTACTTTGACATTTGTGTTTTTTGTGTTTTTATTTCGATTTTACTATTAAAGGCCAAAAAGGCAAAGAAATAAACTTATTTATCAATTTATCATTTAAAACATTTATTATATAATCCCTTCTTATGAAATATATCTATAAAAAGAACCATTAATTAACCAATTGAGTCACCCTTGGCGACAAAGACAATCTCTTTTCATATTTTGCTGTCATGTAAATAGCTTGAACAATAATTGCAGGGTCTCGAATTTCACATCACATAGACAATAGCAAAGATAACAGTTTATAATCGATCAACGAGAATGAAAACTTAATTCGGTAAATATCTAGAGCGTAAACAAATTTCATTTCATTCTAGATATGAAACTATACGCTAACTTGAGCAAAGTTCATGCCACAAATTAACTGAACACTGCTAAACAATCAATTAATTATTTGATAGGATCAGCAAGGTAAGGAGTAATCCACTGAAGAGAGGTAGTATGCTGGAACTACCACCACCGCCATCGACAATAATGGGAATGTAGCCATTACCATTACCGCCCTCATCAGGGTCATCCGGAATCTCTGGAATGTCGGGAATTTCCATTTCGTCATTAGTGAACAAATATTGCTGGATGTAGGAGGATCCCAAAATCGAAGTGTACTCCGGCTTGAAGTTGTAGATTAGTGCCCTGGCCTGCTCCGTGGCATTGGCGAAGCTCTGATTACTTTTCCTGGCCTCATTCACAAAGAAATCGGCAAAGAATTGACCACTTATTACAGCAGCTGCGGTATGCGGAATACTGGCCTTAGTAAACTCATACATGGGCTTCTCCGGATGAAATTGTACTCCATAAAAGGGGTACTTTTTGTGTTCCATTGTGGAAATGAACTCAACGCCATCCCAGTCATGATTCAAAGACAATACACGCCAAGTCTCGTTTAAAAGATCCCTCTCAAAGTCCTTTTCCGTATAGCAAAACTGATGCCAATGATAGGTCACATTCTTGTTGACCATATTTGCCACTATGTCATCACTGATGTAGGCAAATAGACGGCTCTTGTTGAAGTCTAGGCGAAAATAAACATATTTACAACTTAGAGATGAGGTTATTTTCATTTATATTTCCAAATATACCTTCTTTAAACTCCATTGGTAGCGCAATTCCCTTTCCCTGGCAGTTAATACGATGCTCACTGCCGTCAGCCAGTTTGTAAACCATCAGTTCCATGCCAAGACAAGTGCCCCAAACCGGCATAAAGATTCCCTGATCGTTCAGTTCCATTGCCAACTGTACCAGATGTTCGCCGGCATCGGCATACCCGTTGCTCTGATTGAACCAAGTGGCACCACCGGGCAGCAAAACTCTATCAAAACATCAATAAATTTATAAGCGGAATCATTCCTGATATTTTATTTATACTGACCCATTTATCTTGTACATGAGATCTTCATAGTAGCTGCGATTACGTCCGATCCTGGGGAGGGTTTATGAAAATGGATTATTAATTGTTTTGGCAATCTTATCAAGACGACGCCACCAAATCAAATTTGATCTTATGTGAATTTATGTTCTATAAATAATTCAACCTTATCGAGGTTTGGGTAAATTTGCTAAGCAACGATAAGATCTCCCAATTTTTCACTGGTCAGTAAGCTGTCACTATATCTGTCTGCTCACTCACCAAACGGGCACTACTCGTGCTCCGGCACCTTCCAGATACTTCACATACGAAGCGGCTATATAGCTGGTCTTGTTATCAAAGTGTCGAGAGATCAAGCCATCGGTGTACACCTCCTGGGTGAGAATTCCAATGATGGGTGATGATATGGCTGCCGAAGCGATCAGCAGAGAGCCGATGGAAATTAGCAGGCTGATAAAGAGTTTTGGCATTTTTGATTCTCTGTGTTATATATCTTTACAACTTTAAGTTATCTCAGAGTTTTCCAAAACTCCAGAATCCAAAGAGGTTATTGTCCTGAGAAGTATCTTAATCTTAATGCTTCAAAGTATCTTAATCCAGAGATTAAAGTATTACTTCCTATGTAATATTTCCATTGTTTACTCTGCTTCACAGATAGTTCTTATCACAGATACCTCTATTGATTTCTGAAGTATTTTTAGCGAATTTCTTTCTCTAGATAGTTGGTTCAGAGTTATTTTTGTGGGTTGGTAATTATTTTATAGTATCGCTGCGCTTATCCAAGAGTTTTCCGTTTTCCAGAAGTATAGCCCAGATAGAACTAGGCTTTTCTACCACAGGGGAACCCAACCGCTGTCACCAGTTAATAAGAACTGTCCGCTGGAGCGGCAATCGATTCAAATTTATAGGTAAACACCGCCGATTATTTCTTTCATACTTACATAGGTTTTTGGCTTGTGTGAGTGGACATGAGTTTGCGTATGACGATTCAAGACTAAGTCCAATAGATAGTGGCGAGATTAATTGATATATTGACTGTGGAACAGGGTGCTCGATGAAAAGGGGAACTACTTGAAAAGGGGAACTTACATAGAAAGGTGGATAAAAACCTGTTTTAGTCGGTTACTAATTGAAAATTAGCTAATTTACTAATAACCGATGTATCGCTACTTTTATTCACGTATAAAACAAACTAAGTCATTGTTATTGTTTACTTAACAGCTGATAGCAACAGACTAAATTGTGCATGTGATAAGAATCGATTGTCGATCGCTTAATGATTTTTCAGCTGCCCAGCAAACTTTGCTGCTTCTGCTTGATGCCATTCTGAATACTCAGCAGGTACTTCATCTCCACAAGAGTTCCTTTGACTCCCTGAATATCTTTGGCTGCGAAGAGGGAGTTTAGTTTCTGGGCCATATCCTCTAGTTCCTTAACAACTTGGGCATTCAAGTCCTCTAGAGTTTGACTGTCTACCGCATCCTCCACTTCCTCGTTCCGTTCCATCATGGCCATTAGGAATTCCTTGTTTAAAGCGCTATTATCCTGGGGCATCTGCTCACCCTCCAATTGGAGAAGGTACTGACCGCGTTCAATGGGCGTGGCAAGGGTCTTATAAGCCTTGTTGATCAGGGAACTCCAATCCGCGGAGTTGGTTTGCTCACGGGAAGTTCTGCAAACTCAAGGACTTAAATGTAAATATCCAGGATATATTATTCTTAGCCATGCCTACTTATTACTAAATTTATCAGGATGCACTATTGTCTGCAGTTGGCGAAAATTTTTTGTTAACTTCTGGGACTCCAAGGAAAACTTGGTGGGAAAGCTCAACAAGTCGAAATAATTCTATAAAAATAATGGTTTCAAAAATGAAATTAAGCTTGCAATTATTCTTACTATTTCCGCATCCACATCTTGCAAATGTCCACAATCCGAACATATCATATTCTGCCTTAAATTTGACTTCTTTTGGCAATTCCAACAAGCCGGCGAGGATTCTACTGAAAATTGTCGAACTGCGTGCAATCGAAACCGTTCAAATTGAATACTATTTCTGGCGGGTGATAAATAATTTGTCACCCTCACAGCAGTCTTAAAGCCATTTATCACACACCGCATTTTGTACACTAAATTTAACCTTTTTATAAACAACTAAAACGTTTAAAAATTACACAAGCTGACGAAAACAACGGACAGCTGTTAAATAGCAAGTGTGGCAACGCTTTTTGAGTAGGGTTGTAGAGCTCGAAAATTATTTTAAGATTACTAAATTCATAAAATCAATTTAAAACTTTAAATAAGTTAATTTTACACTATCCCACAGAAACAAATCTCTGCTTTGTTTTGCAATACTATAAAAAATTGTTTGAAATAGATCGATCACCCTCACGAATATTCTTCAAATCAAATTAAGACTATAAGGGTATTCCTTAAAACAAGTATTAGATAGGAAACCACCGACTTGTATGTACATAAGTATAAAGTTTATTCCAATATGTGTATTAAAAACTATAATTTAGGTGGCCTTTTCTCGGCTTACATAGAGTCCTTGCGGTAAGCGCGATAGCTGTGCATCTCGTTGGGAAAGGTTTTGAACAATTCCAGAAGCAGATTTGACTTGAACTTCTTTAGACTTTCGATCTTGCCCTTGACCTCCTCGTTTTTGGCCAATGCCTTCTCCACACAGTCCTTAGTGTACAGCTGTGGATTCTTGTCCTGGTCGATGTAGTCGAAAAATACCTCAAACGGCACGTAGACGTCCTGCACCTGGGAACGTAGCTTATCGATCTCCTGGAGGCCGGTTACCAGGCTGTTACTATTGGTGGATACATTTGATATTAATAAAATTACAATTAACCATGCTATCATTTATCTTTACATCTTTTGGTTGAGAACGTTCTGCCCCTGTGGCTGAAAATCGCTGACGATGATGCGTATCTGTCGCACATTCTCGATGAACATCTCCAGCTGGGTCTCCAGGTTCTCCAGTGGAGCAGACATTTTAAAATGATTTTAAAGGCTTCTATTCTCTATTATTTCGTTTATTTGTTTGCTTTTCTGCGGTGATATATTATTTTCCTTTACTCCTTCTTCTTCTTCTCGAAATAAACCAGATAACTAGGGCTGCTACAACGCATTTATGAGTTTTGCGACTTATCGATAGCCTCCGCATAGCAAGGTCACACTGCTTGGCTGCACACTATTTGGTCAAAAAGTGCGTGATTTTAGTTTTTTGAAGGAAAAACTGAAGAATTGCCTTAATAACTGCCACACTTTATATAAAATTAAGAACTCAGAATGTCGGATGGAGATTTGGATGCCCTACGCGCCCAGCGCATGTCCCAAATGCAGTCGCAATTTGTAAGTAAAGTATTTTGGTAGGCTTTCAACCGGCTAGATTCCTCTAGAGAATTCTAAAAATAGCCATAACTTGGAGAAAATAGTGAAGATATAGATTTTAAAAATTATATTGCAATAATATAAAGACAACAATAAGGAGGTTTGAATAGTTTGTTTATATTCTTGTCGTGGTAGGTAGCTTTTAAGTCTTATGAGTCATCTTGTATAACTGAGACACCTGTTCCTTTAAAGCTCTATCCTTCAGTGACCTTTCAACCCTTTCTCCTGTTTTTAGGGCGGCGGCGGTGGCAATGATGCAGAAAAACAACAGGCTCAGCAGGAGCAGATGCGGGCCCAGGAGGAGATGAAGCATTCGATATTATCTCAAGTTTTGGATCAGCAGGCCAGAGCACGACGTTAGTGCATTAAACCTTTTCTAAATCTTATAAAAGTACGCTGAATAACACTTAAAATCTCCCACAGTGAACACCCTCAAAGTGAGCAAGCCGGAGAAGGCGCAAATATTCGAGAACATGGTCATCCGCATGGCCCAGATGGGTCAGGTGCGTGGAAAACTCGATGACGCCCAGTTCGTGAGCATCCTCGAGAGCGTCAATGCTCAGATGCCGCAGAGCAAGTCCTCCGTGAAGTATGATCGGCGTAGAGCTGCCATCGATAGCGATGATGATGATGATTACGGCTGCTGATCGGGTCGCATTCCCGCCCAACTCTTAATTTTAGTTGACCCCACTCTTCGCATCCGCTAAAACATGTTTATTACTTTTACTAACTTAAAACGAAAAAAAAGAACCAGACGCACGAATGCGAATTGATTTCATTGTGTCAAATGGCGATTCTTTAAGCAGATTTGGAAGTTCTCGCCCAGCGGAGATGAGATGACATAGGACTAGATTTGGCTTACATATATATACGGTAGAAAAGTTGCTCTAGGGGATGGGATCTGCTACGACTTCTTTTCGCTTTCTTCTCTTCGTACTCCTTTTGGTTTGCTTTAATTTTTTTCTCGGGATCTTCTACGAAACTTAAAATTCTTCTCGAGATCACCTGATTTACCTTCATCTAATTGCTTTCGGTCTTTCTGTTAGTGTTCTTTTTACTCTTTCTTTTCGTGATCTTCATCCTGATCATCCTCAGTGACCAAACAATCGCCACAGAAAATGGAATACATAATGAGCGAGAGGAATCCAAGCGGCAGACCAAAGATAACAGTGGTCAGCACGGGATTTCCCAGCCACATATCCCTAAGGGCTCTTCGCACTTCGAATAGCGCACGATTCACTCGCACAAAATACGTATCTCCTCCATATGCAATCGCACTATCATTACTAATGGATTCCAGGAAGAGATGCAGTGCCTGCGGGGTCATCTGAATGGGATCATCGTCTGGTAAGTAGTGGTGTTGGGTGCTCGAGTTAATCGCTATCAAATGCGGCGTAGGCAGTTGATCCAGAATGATGGAGTGTGCTATAGATGGCTCACCGATCTAAAAAGAAAAAGTTCGATAAATTCATAAAATGTGAGTATTTATAACTCTTACCCATCCGAATTGGAACTTCTCATGATATCGTGCCCTGTGTTTCCTTATCACGCCCTCGACCATGTCCCGGAACTCCAGTTCATGGGTGGCTATCTGATTGAGCTTATCCTCCTGCACAACAGCCAGAACTAGATACTTATTTGTCTTTAGCAGCTGATGAATGTTGAATCGAGTGACCTTCGGGAAGAGTGTGAACCTCTCAACATTCACCCACTGGAAAACGGTCTCGTTAACTTCATTAGGGTCCATTTCATGCGCGAGGTGTCCGTGCGGATAGAAGTGGTGCTGTTCCTCCTTGTAAACAATAACTGCTGGTAGTTTCTCAAAGTCAAAGTGCTGGGCTGCGATATCCTCACTGGTGGCATAGAAAAATCCATGCTCCTGGTAACCCTCCGCTGCAGCATAGTACGTATCCCACACCACGCCCTCCTGCTGGCCCACAAAAATAAAGAAGATCGTATGGGATCCCTTTAGCATGTCCACACTCTCCGTTCGCGTAACCAGCTGAACTGGAGGACCAGACATCCTCAAAGCATAATCGACCAGCTCATCACGACCGCGATCTCCATTGTAGGTGAACTCCATGTTGCCCTTGATGAACATGATGGTGGGATAACCACGAACCTAAAACAGATGTGATATTTAGAGGTTGTACTCATCAAAACCTAGAAATCAATGTAGCAGTAGTCTTTGATCCTTGGTTAAAGATTACTGTGACAATGTTTCTAATTATATTAAGTAGTTCCCAAATCGCACCTTGAACTCCTTGGCTGCTGCTGGATACTTGGTGCAATCTAGGCGACCCACCCGCACATTGGTGGCATGGAGCGCCTGAGCCACCAGAGCGAAGATGGGCTCTGTCTTTTTGCAGTAGCCGCACCACGGTGCATAGAACATGACCAGCCACTGACCCTCGTGTCGCACATCGATAAACCGGTCGCTAAGCTCCAGAACCCTCGAGGAAATCGCCGTTGATCCCAAGGTGACAAGAAAAGCTATTGATTTTTTAAATAATTCATAAACTGCCTTTGCTTTTTCTTTTTCTCCTTATTTATTTACCACTCAGGAGGCCGAAGGTCCATATAGAACTTGGCGTCATCTTTGCAGCTACTTTTATTTGTACTTCCAAGTGTGATTTCTCGATTCTCCTCTGCTATATCATGCTTTATGATATTTTATTGTTTTTTTAACTTAATTTAATTAGCTGATTGGTTTAATTTTCAGTTGAAGTTATTTTCCTTCGGGCAGCAACAACAAAAGAAAACATTCGCAAAAACCACCCCCGCCCTTAGAGTGACCAGATGCGGGTAGGTTTCCGAAACTGGAAATGGAAGATAACACTGTTTAACCCACTATGGTTCTATATAATATATACTTTACAAAAAAATTTACCTGTTGTGCCTTAAATCAATAGTATAAGCGGGTGAAAGTAGCGTTTTAAAATATAAATTATGCAAATTTTGAGCGCCCAAATGTACATATTATAATTCACCTTGAAACTTGAACAAATTTGGTTTGATGAGATTTTTGTGCATATTAAATTTATAGCTACAAGGGTATATAAGCTTAGGCTAGCTTACTTTCTGGTTTTTATATTTTTGCAGAGGGTATTATAATTTCAGTCAAAATTTTTATATTTTTGATCAGCATCACCAGGAGAGTCGATCTAACCATGTCCGTCCGTTTGTCCGTCTGTCCGTCTGTCCATCCGTCCGCCCTCATTTTTAAAGCTACATATCTGCTGGAAACATTCCCGAAAGTTATCTTTCTATTGCAGGCAGTATACAAGTCGGAACGAGCTGGATCGGACGATTATATCATATAGCTCCCATAGGTAAAATCGGAAAAAAAAAATTTTAAAAAATTATAACTGTTTTCAATTTTTGTTTTGTTCTTTGGTATTTGGTACTATTTAAATGTTATGGAATTACGGTTTTAATTAAATTAAAATCGGACAACAATATCATATAGCTGCCATAGAAATGATAAAAAAATGCACGACATAGCTTCATTGTTTTTAGTAATATAGGCATAGAAATCGAAATGTAGTCGATTTGTAATAACTGCAAGGGTATATAAACATCGGCGTGCCGAAGTTTTCTTCCTTTCCAGCTTTTGTCTGAATTTTAAGTATATGCGGCAGCACAAGGGTTATGCTAGTATATTTTCACCGAAGTGGCAACTCTCGCGGATTGTTTACTTCACGTTTTCGAACATCTGGCAACTCTTAGGCACACACGTGCAACTCCAAAGGAATTTTGTTTAATTTTTTATTGCTTATTTCTACGTATTTTAATTATTATTATAACTAAATACAATGAAGAATATTTCGAAGACGGATCCCCAGGGAAAGGGAAAGCATCAGTTGCACAATGTTCGATTCTACACGATAAAACCGCGTGGTATTGTTAGTTTGGCCTATAGCAAATTGAGCAAGTGCCTCGCTTTGAGTCGGTAAATATCAAAAATCACGAAACACTCCTTAAAAAGATGCAGATTACTAATCAGAACATAAATATTAGCGAAACCCCCATTATAGAGCTGTGGAACCTGGAGCACACCCCCTATTTGGATCGCGTTATTCATCTGCCACCCGAATCTCCAGTGGAATCTTTATCTTGGGCAGGAAATCGTCTGTTTTCCGTGGATCTGACGGGTAAACTGATTGAGTGGGATGTGGTAAACCTAAAGCCACGCTATGAGCACTCACCCACTGGAAATGCCCTCTGGAGTCTCGATGTCAACCACGCAGAAACTGAAATCGCCGTGGGTTCCGAGGAGGGTCACATCAACATCCTGAGCATTGAGAATGACGAAATCACCTATAAATCCCTCTTCAACAAGCAAAAGGGTCGCGTTCTCTGCATTAAGTTCGACAAATCAGGAACAAAATTAGTTACCGGCACCGAAGGATTTGTTCGCATTTGGAATGTCCTTAAGGGAACCACTCTCCACACAATGACTCTTTCCGAAAAGGATGTGATTGTTTGGTCCCTGCAGGTGCTATCGGATAATACCATTATTGCTGGCGATTCCGCAGGATTTATAACCGTTTGGAATGCAGAAAATGCTACGCAAATCGATTGTACACGAGTTCTAGATAAAAACGTATTTGCTATGGCTGTTAATGAAAAAGAGGACCGATTGATTTGCAGTGGAATGAAGCCACCTCTCATTCGCATTTTCAGCAAGACGAAGATCAAGCGAGAGGAATCCACCAGCGAGAGATGGATCAAATTTCTGCAGCGAGATGCCCACAAACACTATGTGAAATCCCTGTTGGTCATAGATGGTGAAATATTTTCTGGAGGATTGGATGGCATATTGACTGTCACCTCCAGCGAAAGGATGTCTGCACATCTTGCGCAGCACGCTCCTTTTCTTCAAGGATCCGTAGCTTCATTAGCCATCAGTGAAAAGCTATTGCTTCTACGTTATCCCAACAGTCTGCACCTGTGGCGCTTGGGTTCTTCGGTTCCACGTGAAGCGGAAAAGAAGAAGCACGGCGTACAGCCAGTTGGTCACTCAGAGGAACTTCTTTTGGAACAACCTCCCCAGAAACTGCTTCAACTAAATGTGAAAAAGGACAACTTCATACAGGCTGCTGCCATTTCACCAGATGCAAACTGGATTTGCTACTCTACTTTGAAGGAAATGCGTCTAAATCGTTTGGAGAGTGATCCCCTGAAGGTGGAGCGTCTGTCGGAGGATCTGCCCGAGGAACTCAAACCAGCCAGCCACATTATCTTCACGAAGCAAGGAAGACTGGCGCTTCTCGATCCCCAAAATAATCATCTTAATTGGTTTAATTTTAATGAAGATCAGCTTATTTTCCAAAATAGCATCGATTTGAGTGACCATTGCAAGAGTATCATTAACCATTTACTGGTTTCTTCAGATGGCGATTACATTGTTGCGGGAACCTCGGATAGAATAATATCAGTTTGGAAACTACATGGAAAAGAGTACAAGCACCTGCTGAACTTACCAAGACATCGAGCAGGAACGACTGCTTTATCCTTGCACGAGGGTCTTCCTCGGGTGGTGGTAGCCTACGCCAATGGCCAGCTCGTGGAATACGATCTGGTTAATCGGATCTTTACCTGTGAAACTGATGAGTACCTGATACCGGACACCATACACCACTGCATAAGTGGTATCACCTTGGATCCAAGGAATCCTAATATATTTTTGGTTCATACCGAAAGCAATTTATATGTTTTGGAGAGAAATGAGCATGTGGAGCCAAAGGAGCATGTGATCGTTAACAAGTCGAAGAAGTTGTCAGACGGAAAGCGATCCTCAGTTGATGGCGATTCAAAGGGTTTGAGCCTTAAAACGGAGCTGCCGCGACAGGTAAGATTGGGAGATCCTCCTTGAAGCTTAAAGACTGCTTCTCATTTTGAAGATTATCGTATAGATTATCATTTGTTTTAATAAAGCTCTGAAATTGACAAGTTCTTTGTTCCATATTGAACCAAAAACATATTTTATTTTATGAATATTAAAAATGTCAAGATGAAAGTTTAACAGTGGGCATAGAAGCTCTTATCCATTTTCAACACCATTCGACTATCCCATAAGGGCACTTAATCCTTTATTTCTCCCATTATTTGCGTACATTTTCTCACCTCTATTTCTCTTTTTTGCAGCACCTGGTGCACGTGTCTCGGCTGAGCTCTAACGAACTTGTCAACGTCAGCATTTCGACAAACAATCTGTTGGCTCCGCTGCCAAAGCCGTACCAGCGGAAGAAGTTTGGTGCCGGGTAAACGGAGCGCCGGAGGATAAAGTGGAGTGGAGCGTCTCCACTTAGGTTTACCCAGTAGTTTCCACTTAGTTACCAAATAAAATCAAAAAAGTAGAAAACAATGGTGGAGTGAATTTTTCGAAGGCTTGCTGCGCGGCTCGCACTCGGCATTCGCACGGAAATTTGTCAAATGTATTGCCAAAAATTTGTCTCCGCCGTCTCGTCGACGACGACAATGTCTCCCGGGCCCATTTCCCTGATTTCTTTTTCGTGGGGGCTACGTGGATTGTGCAACATTTCGTTTCGTTTCGTTTTGTGTCGCCGGCATTTACTGTAATTGTTGTTGCTGTTATTTTTTGGTTTTACACTGTCTAGCCAATGTCTAGACAAGTGCATACCACACAGACAGTCGAAAACACACGCACACAGAGGCGGCGTGCGAGGGGATTTTTGGGGGGAGTCCTGGGGGGACGTCGATGCACAATTCAACTTTTAGCTCAAAAACTCATTGGCCGGCTGGGTCTGCCGTCGTTCCACCATTGTGCTGCAAATGGGTAATGGGTGGGAGCTCTGAATCTCGGCATAAAAAGTCCGAGTATCCCGCAGCCATATTCGAATGCCAGGAGAGGCTTTTACTTGGGCTGGGTCATGACCACTTTGGGATCAGAAAGGTGATTAAAACTTTGCATTGGCAGCGCAAAATAAAGTTTCACTTCTGCATCACCGGAATTATAATAAATGAAAGGCTTTAAACAAAAGCTAATTTGGTGATCGTGGGCATTGCTTATAGATGCGGAAATATTTAACTTAATTTGATATATTATTTGTAAGCCAACATTAGCAGCACATTTCTTAAAATAAATGAAGAAAATATTATAAAAAACGTAGTTCTTACATGACATACTTTGTATAATCAAATTAATTTACTTGTACCTAATGAAATAAGAAATTTTAATTTCTGAGCATACCCACATTATAAAGTAAATCTAAACTTGAAATAAATAATTGTTAAAGCATTCAAAATTCGGCTTAGTCCTGGAAGAGGTGAACCATCTTGTTATGTGCACTGCAATGTGCAATTTTTTGGCTTTTGTTTTTTTCCTTTTTGCATACAATTTTTTGACCAGGATGAAAACCCCCATCCGCTTTTCCTCAGCTCCGTAACTTTTCCCGATTCTGACCATAACCGACCGGCTGGCTGACTGCGGTTGCGGGGGCGTGTCATTTTTGTGAGGCGACAGTTTTCGCATAGCAAAGCTAGTGGCGAACAGACATGAATAATGAGTGAATTGACTGAAATATTCAAACTGAGCATACAAACTATAAATGCACACATAACGCATACGCAACGTATGCCAATTTGGCTGGAAAACGCAAACCCAAAGTTCCACCCTTGGGCGCTTTTGTCGGCATTAAAACTCACTTAGCCGTTGAAAGGCGCTGGGCGAAAAAGGAGGAGTTTGGTGGAAAAGTTATGCAAACTACGCAATGCAAACTACGGGGAAAAGTCGGGCTGCATTTGAAGGAAGAAGTCGTGAGAGTCTGCCAAAGAAGTCTAGACAGGCAATGGGCGAAACTTTGGCGGTGGCGAAAAAAACTTTTTCCACATGGGGTAAAAGACTTAGAAGGTGTGGTGGAGAACGAGAGGTTAAAGAACAATGCCTCAAATTGACATTTAATTGGTTTGCAAATTAGCCAAGAAACGAAGCAACAAAAGAAGCAATGTTCGCATGGGAATTTGCACCTCAATTGCACTTTTCACCCTTGCATAATCAGGGATGCGAAGGGGATTACACATAAATAAATAAAATATCCGTTTCCGTATCATTTGTCAAAATTATTTACTAAAGAACTAAATATTCTAGTTTTTTATTATAATTAATTAAAATACTTCATTAAATTTTACTCACCAAAAACAATAATTACTGTTTGTTTCAATTTGAAAAATGTAAGCTAAACATTTTTGTGTACCAAAAGAATTAGGATAATTATTATAATAGTTGTTCGGTTACACCATGGAAAATTAAATAAACTAATCTTTTAACGGTTTGTATTCCAGCTTTTTTACATATTCTTCTCTTTTAAGGATTTTTGCATGAGTGGTCTCAATATCAGTTTTTGGTTGATTAGCTAAAGTAAAATCTTAAAATCTGTGTAAATCTTTCTAAATTTCAAAGCCGTTTGCATCCCTGTTATTTTCGTGTGAAACCCCAACCGATTTGAGGTGCTAATAAACAAGAACTCTTGCGGGGCTAAATTACAGCCGCTAATGAATGAAATGGGATAAAGCTTAATTTGCATTTAATAATATTAACGCGTGGGAGAGTGCAAGGGGTGCTAATTGGGGGATGGGTGGGCCAAAGGGGGTAAATGCTCGCATCAGCATAAATCGCATGCGGTTGTCATGACAGTGGTGGGAGGGCAACCAACTCAAGTCTAGACAGGGATCCATGGGATGCAACAGCAACCGACCAGAGGACAATATAAGGACAAACGTGTCCTGTCTGTCTGGTAGTTGTCGGGGGGTTAAACGGAAAGGAACGAGATCGGGAATGGGAATGGGAACTTAAGGGGTAACTGCTCTCTTGTCTGAGGCATCGTAACTTTTGGCCCAACACAAAACTTGATTGAATTTTATGCTCGCCAACAACAATGAAGCAAAAGCAATGGAGGAAAGCCAGCACTTAATTGGTCTGAAAGAAAACTCTTTGGGATGCCGCAACAAAAACACAGTATTAATGAAAGTGCAGCTGTGCAGGTGGTGAAAGGTCAACTGGGAGCTGGCGAACTCAAGTGGCAGCGGGTTCATAAAAATCCTTTTTATGACCAATTTTGGAGCATCAAACGTTTTTATTCTATTTTTGGTCATGATTTTCATTCATTGACACTTAACACACTTGAGAAAAATATGTACATTTTGTCATCACCAAATCTTATTTGTTTTTGTTTAATAATAGATTTTACAATTCAAATTATTAAACCATATTTAACAAATTATTATAAATAACAATGATTATAGTACTTACAATTTTGAATTTAAAGTTATATGTTTATTTAATTTTTTTTAAAGAAAAAGTAACAAGCATTTAAGATATTTTTTAGAAATTATTTGTTCTCTGGTTTCAAATTATGAAATATCGGAAGTATATTTTTTAGTGCATCAGCGAAGACAGGAAAACGTTCATTGAATTTTGTCCTTCGCTGAGCTGCCAAAGGACGAATGCACAATAAAGAGGGGCGAATAAGGAGTAGTGAGGAGCTTAGTTGAGGTTCCTTCGCCTCACACAAATACCAACAATTTGATATGCCTGACGCTTCCTGGCTTGTCTGGAGCAAGTTTTGCAGTTTCATTGCACTCGTCGGCGTCGAGTGCAATGTCATCCCGCACATCCTGGCGAGCACCCACCACCCACCGGCCACCCCTCTGCACAATCCTGCCAAGGAGTCAACTTGTCAGCCAACTACAATTTACGAGCATTTCACTTCGTTTGCTTCGATTTTCATTGCATACTTTTTGGGGCGGCAAATGAAGAGAGTTGAGCATTTGCAGCTCCAGAGCATTTTCCTCCGATTTTGTTGGTGTCGAGGAGTCCTTGGAAATTGCATTGCATTTCCCGTTGGATTAAGCTTAAGACTTAAAGTGTTCCCCCATGAATTTCAGATTACTACTCTGTTCCATCGAGTAATTCCTTCAGTTCTCTGTGGGACTCAACACTGTTATTTTTGCAAGTTAACTTAATTGCTGTTACTCAGTTTATTGTTGTTGTTGCTGTCGTTGTTGGTTTTCCTTCCAGATTTTTGCATAATGTGACTAACGTCATAATCTCCATAACGATGTTAGTCAAGTTTTTGCTGCCCTCGTTGCGGTTTTTGTAGATGTGGTATTTCTGCGGTCTATAGATTTAATGAGGGAAAATCATAATGTCTGCTGACCTCAGCCGACTTTGGGGTGCTCTTCAGATGTTTACAACCAATGTTTTCTTATAACATTTTTTTTATTTATTAAATTTATGTTGGAAAGATAATTAAAACCTTATTGATCATCAAAATAAATGAATTCTTGAATTTTATGCTTTTAGTTTTTAAAGAACTTCAAAGTTGAACTTTTATTTTTATAAAACTTAAAGTATAAGTTTGTTTAAAATTAAAAAATATTGAATATCTATACATTGAATAACTGATTTTTATATTGCCTTCGCAGGAAGACAAATTTTAATAAGTATGTCCTTCTTAGTTGTTACATTTCTGTCTACACGTTCAACAACAATGACATGTAAGAAATTATCAATATACATACATATATTAAAAGTTAAAATTTTAAATTCATATTAAATAAAAACATAAACTAATAGGAAAAAAGTACATGCCCCGGGTGAGGCTCGAACTCACGACCTTAAGATTATGAGACTTACGCGCTGCCAACTGCGCCACCGAGGCTCTAGTTATCTGCCATTTCTAAGTAGGCTTTATAAAGTGATTAAGAATTTAATTTTTAATGCATTAAGGAAAGCTCCATTTAATGATCTGAAAACGCAGAAGGAACACCTGAGCTCGAACTCATGTTTTCGCCCCAAACATAAAGTACAGGGTGCTTCGTGCTAAACAGCGCCTATTAAAAACGAACCACAACAACCGCAGCTAGAACAACAATTGCAATCATAAAGTGCCAACCGCACTCGCTTCTCAGCCGTGTTGTTGTTGTGTGTGATTTTTGTGTACGCGCTTCGCTTCGCAAGTTGCAACCACAATTTAATTAAGCCAACAGCAACCGCCCAGGAAGGCGGTGGGGTGAGGTGAGATGGGCGGGGCTGATGGACGCCGGTCCAGTAGATTGGACAACATTAGCATTGGAAACATTGTTGTTGATGTCAGGGCAATGTGTTTACTTTCTAGCTCAGTGCACTCAAAAAAATGTATGAGTATTAGTGTTGTTGAATGCCCATTAAAAAATAGTTTTAAAATTGTTTATATTAAAACTACAATACAATCGTTAATATTAAAATTATTTGAAAATAGGGACTTGTTTCAATTAGCATCTTATTCTTTAATAAAGTTAACAGCTCAAATGTACTTTTATAATTATTTAATGTTATTTGAAGATATACCTTTATATGAAGAACGA